CCAGCATTATCTAAAAGGGATTCTGGATCTGATATTGTCTTTAGATCAGGTAGGGGTCTGGCTTGTTTATGAATGTCTTGCAAAAGTAGAGGCAGGATATTTTGCGTGTGCATTCTCTTCCCCTTCTTCTCCCTTTTTGGATGTATTATTTGATTTTGTAGAGGGACATATTTATAGAAAAATCATTAGTCTGTGATAAGGGGCCCTGTTTCTTTCATATAGTAGATTCAAATTATATTTAAATAATTTCAACATTTGAAGTAATTTTTTTGATAATAGTAAGGTATTATTGCATAGATTATCACATACCATTGTACTTACACACAAAAAATTGTAAAATTGTAAAGCCTATTGTAAAAGTGTTTACACATAATGTGTTTCCAGATTGTGGCAGTACTGTCAGACGAAGAGCTGGAGTCGATGGCCGTGAAGAAGTTGGCATTAGCAATGCAGCTGATGCAGATGGTGTAGAAGGATCAACAAGAACAGAGGAAGAAGTCAGAGATGCTTGGCGGTCTCCTTCTCCCCCGCCATCAATTGACAGTGGGCAGTCAGGTACGCAAATTGATCATTTGGATATTTATACAGTATACCATTGTTATGGCTTCTGGACATTGTCTTCATTCATCTTTTATTAATTGATAAGGATTTCTTGCTATTCAGGTTCATATTTGTTATAATTGTTTGGTATAAATAGTTATAGATGACAGAAGACAATTATTAGTTTATGTTATTGCTTTTAAATGCTTATTTAACCCTTTGCAGTATATTCATGTGCAGCTTGTGCTTGTGTTTGGTATAGTTGAATGTATAATATATTTTTTTTTCCTTCCTCTGATTCTGTGATCTAGATTTTGCCATGATTTGTCATTTTAAACTATGATAGATTTTTTTTCTTTCTTTCTTTTTTGTGGAAAATTTTCTCTGTCATTTTGATGTTTTGCAATCTGTTTGATATGATTTTAAGACCTTTTGTAGTGTGTAAAATATGAAGCTTCAATGCCAGTTTTGTAATAAGTCCTGGAAATGCATGAGATTATGCTGAGTATTATCTTTGGTAATATCACTGCAAAGGCATAAATCATATCAGTCTTTGCAAAGATTTTATCATTTTGATACTCATGAAATATTAAACCCTTATATTTAAATTATTAGAAACATCCCCTCTGTCTGGGGCCTCAATAGAATGTAGAGTTTGTAAGGCTTAAGGCATGTTATCTATGGCCCACCAGAAGATAAAACGGATTGGGACAAGATGATTGCTGACCTCAACCAGATAAGTGAGAGTTGCGGTCTTCGAGATCATCGTCAGTCTCCTACGATACTGCTTCCCCATGGACATACAGGTGAAACTGCTGTTGTTATGCTTAACATTTTTTTTTACTTCTTTTAAGCTTAAGACTGATATGGAAGTATGGTATTGGTATGAAAACTTTATTTAAAATTTGCTGTTTTTTTTATATATTATGAGTAGAGAAGGAACTGGATTGTATTTCTGTAGTTGTTGGTTGATTTTGAAGATTAAAAGGTATTCATAAGTGTATAGCAATGCAAAGTTATGCACTTTTTTTTTTTAGCATGTAGGTAGATGATCTTCAGAGTTGTTTAATTCATCCTTTCCTTTTTGCTGTAATTTGAAGACAGTTTTAATCCTTTATTTTCTCATTCTTTTTCACAGAACATACATATTTTTCAATTGCCTGTGTAAATCATGTGTGAAATGCACTGAATTTTATTTTCCACCTTCAGGTACAGTAATCCAACGTAAAAAAGATGTACGGGCTGGTAGTGAAGCTCCCATGCCTGATGTAGGGTCAGCACCAGAACCATCTCGAACCCAAACTCTGTCGACTCGCAGACGTCCAGCCTGTCCAGCGACGAGTACAAGCAGTAATGGGAGTGAACCAAAAGAAGAAGGAAGCTATTCCATTAGCAATGCTGCTTTAACATACACAGCAACATATTCAAGAACAGCTTCACCACCACGTAAGTTTTATAATGTCCTTTTTTGTGGCGTAAGTTATGGTGTAGTGGATCTTTTCCTGTTTGTTTACCTGTACTTTTTTGAAGAATTAATATTCATGTTTCATCAAGTAATACATGTTCATATGTATGTCTTTCAGTAATTAATTCATTACATGTATTTCTTAAAACAAAACTTATCATGAACATCTGGTTACCTTCCTCTACACACAAAGATAAAATAGAATTCCAGCTTATTATTAAATAAAATTAAACTATGTTTAAATTTATTTTGTCCTCTGGGATCCTTTACTAATATAACTGTCTCTTAAAAATGTTTATTGTGTATTATATGATGTAATTCTACTATTTTTTCTTGTCTTAACTGCCTGAATATTCACATATATTTTTAAACACATTTGCATTGATTTGATTAAATTATAATATTAACCATATATTTTAATCACAGCAGGTGGTGGGCATGTTTACCAAGTGAACCTAATGAAAGACCGTGTATATGAAGACTTTGGATTTAGTG